AATGATACAATTAATAAAGACTGGCAAACATGCTACAGAGTCTAGCAATCTCTGCAGAATTCAATTTAAAACAGCTTTAGTGAATACAAGCTTAAATGATATTGATTTAAAATAGTAGTAAGATTATGAACAAATAAAAAAGAAATAGAAAAATGATATAATATTTCCTAGCATATTTTAGGTCAAGTAAAATGGCTACATAAAACCGAGGATTAGATTTCATGGAGTTGACATTTCTTAAGATAACTCAAAATGAAACTTTAAGCACAAATATCACAGTTATTGAGTTGCAGAAAATTAGGATGTTACACATGCAAAGATATTAAAATGATGCAGTACCTGTGAAGAGAAATCAGAGTTAACTTTTTGGATACAGTGACCCTTCCTCACTGGACACAAAAAGTTAACGCTGATTTCTCTCCAGAGATGCTGCCAGATTTACTGAGCTTTTCCAACAATTTCTGATTTTGTTTCTGATTTCAAGTATCCACAGTACTTTTGATTTTTAAAATGGTACAGTAGTTTGGGCTGGTACTCATTGGAGCTTTGGAGAATGAGAGGAGAACCTATTGAAGTATAGAAGGTTAATAAGGAGCTTTACAGGGTCAGATGCAGAGAAGTTGTCGGTCCTTGTGGCAAAATCTAGGACCAGAGGGCATAATCTCAGAAAAAGCTGTCACACATTTAAGACAGAGATGAGGACTGTTTTCTCTCTCTCAGAGGGTAGTGAATCTTTACCACAAAGGGCTGTAGAGGCTGGTTCTAAAGGCTGAGATAGAAACGGTAGGTCAATGGTTAGCACTGCTGCTTCACAACACCAGGGACCTGGGTTTGATTCCACCCTCGGGCGACTGTCTGTGTGGAGTTTGCACATTCTCCCTGTGTCTGCTTGGATTTCCTCCGGGTGTCTGGTTTCCTCCTACAGTCCAAAGGTGTGCAGGCTAGGTGGATTGGCCATGCTAAATTGCCTGCAGTTCCCTGTTTTCTGTCTCTCTCCTTTCTTAAATAGAGGAGTTAAATTTGCTATTCGCCAATCAGCCAAGTAACTGAACCAAAGATGACAGGAAACACAAAAGATTTTTTTCTCCTGAACTCAATAGGAAACATTTTTTCTGTTTTCTCAATAACAGAAATCTGATTAGTGACTTCAGCAATACATAGCTCATACTTAATTTTCATTCAAGGGAAAATCATGGAAGAAAATTGTGAAATGTATATGGTTCATTTATAATGAATACTAATGTTTGTTTTAAAACTATTTTCATTGTCATTGCCCCTATCACATTGACTGCATTTTAAACAGTTAGTAAGCTACGTGCAGCGTGAAAAAAAAACTTCTTTCAGTTTCTGTGAATATTAGTAAAACAGATATGTGTTTTTTTGTGTGCAATTTCCTCCAACAATAACTCTGAACACTGCTGTATCTTTTGTTCTCAGAGCTTACTCTGCAGTTGTTGTATCCTGAGGGCTTTGATGAAAACAATCAATATCCTGTTCTGCTGGTCGTGTAAGTAATTCTTTTACTCAGTATTCAAAATTGCAGTTGACAGAGAGTTACCCCCAATTGCCCCTTTCTCAGTGACTATTTAGATCTGACACTGAGTCAAGGATGTCTCCAAGTTTCCAGCAGTAGTGGTGCCAATAAGCAGATTAGCAGCAGAGCATCACCAGCTTCTCAAAGGGAAATAAGGATGGGTAATAAATACTAGCCTGATCAGTGATGTTCCCATTCCACAAAAATTTTTTTTAAAAAAATGCTCTCTAAGGAGAAATTTTCTGTTGTTGTGTGGAACTCCAACGTCAAGCCATTTCACAGCCATTAGATCATTAAAATGTCTGCAGCGTGATATCTGTGATGCACATTATCCCTTGAAGAATGACTGAATCTGGCACCAAATCAAAGATATCTCCAGGTGAAGAAGCAGCAATGATGTCCAAAGGCAGATAAACAGAGAATCATGGTGGAGTATTTTCACAGATATCAAAACAGAAATTTAAAAACATTTCATTTCCTTCACTTTTTATGTTACTTTTAAATATTGGAATAAATGGTTAAGGTTGGATTAAGATGGAACCCAAACTAGGATAAACATAAATTTTGAAACATTTTAAACAGATGATGACATGTAATGTTGTAACATAGTGGAGCAAGTTGATATTCTAGGATTATGAAATTTATTTTCAGCACCAGTGAATATTTAACAATAATTAAGAAATTTTTTTAAAACGAAGTAAAATTCTTTCCACAAGGTGTGACCTTTCAAGAGCTATTATAGTGAGACCAATGGTTTTATCGTGGAAGCTTTCATGAGGAACTCAACCGCACCCTCTGCTATACTATTCTGTAGATTCCCAAAGTTGCTGAATGTTTTAGTGGAACAGCACGAATGAATGCCATTTCTCTGCAATTGTCAATCCAACTCTGAATCCAATCTGTTTGCTAAGGTGATACACCACCGCTTGCCTTGTTCATGCAGGTCCTTGTGGGCATTGTGTTAAGTAAAATAGTCAATAAATCAAAATATTATCATGAAAATCAACTTGTATAATATTTGGTGGGGAATGGCAGAGTAGGTGGTCATGTTAACATATGAGTAATCCAGAGGCCCAGGTTGATATTCTGACAATATGAGTTAATATCCCACCACAACAGCTTGTGAACTTTAAACATATTTACTTAATAAATTCAATTAATTAGAAATCTTCAATGAAATACTAGATGAATAATCATCAGGAAACTGCTAGATTGTTGTAAAAACCTATCTGCCTCACTAATCTCCTTCATGGGAGTAAATCTCCTGACCTTAGCCAATCTGGCCTACATCTGACTCCAGATACATAGCAGTGCGGTTCAGACTTAGCTACCCTCTGAAATAAGCTTACAAATTCATCAGTTTAAGGGCAATTGGAGATGGTCAATAAATGCTGGCCTTTTCTGCAATACTCGCTTCCCAAGAATGAATAAAAGACACTGCTTTTGCTATAGCCACATTATACGCCCACTGATATTGCACAGAGCAAAATACTCCCAGATTGGTACAGCTTCTTGGATTCCATCTTGGGTTTCTGCTATCTCAAAATGCAACATTTATTTTGATAGCATTAAATTTAAATAAAGCTCTATTCAAATCAATATATTAGGTTTCTACCAATGCAATCAGCTGTTTTCACATTCAATATAATTTTTCTTAATATTAGGTAAAACTGTTTTGTAATTTTTAGGTATTTTCTAATTTTAGTCAATGATAAACTCAAGTAACATTCTGTAGTTACAGATTCACATCACCTGGTGAGTGCTTTTCTCTAATTGTGCCCAGATGTTATAATTGAAACATTATAATTGAATTATTACAAAACACATAATATAGAAAGGCTTCCTGTCAAAAGCCAAAGTGCAGAGGTCATTTGTTGATGCATTAAAATGAAGAAGAATACAAGATGAGGAGGAAAAACTCGCAATAGAAAGGTACAGGTGAACAACAACTCACAACAAGTGCTCACCATGCATCAACTATTTTCTACAGTACATTAACTGGATGCAGTGAAGAAAAAGGACTTGAAGAACCTTGAACCTTCTGAGGAGTCTGTGACTAAATTGACTGGAGTATGTAATTTTATTTTCTATTCATTTGTGGGATGTGGGCATCGCTGACTGGCCAGCATTTCTTGCCCATCCCGAGTTGCCCTTAAGAAAGTGGTGGTGAGCTGCCTTCTTGAACTGCTGCAGTCCTCCTGCCCTGGGTTGACCCACAATGCTATTAGGGATGGAACTCCAGGATTTTGACCCAGTGACTGTGAAGGAACAGCGATATATTTCCTAGTCAGGATGGTGAGTGACATGGAGGGGAACTTGGAGGTGGTGGTGTTCCCTTATATCTGCTGCCCTTTTCCTTCAAGATGGAAGTGGTCGTGGGTTTGGAAGGTTCTGTCTGAGGATCTTTGGTGAATTTCTGCAGTGCATCTTGTAGATAGTACACACTGCTGCTACTGAACGTCGGTGGTGGAGGGACTGAATGCTTGTGGATGTAATGCCAATCAAATGGGCGGCTTTGTCCTGGATGGTGTCAAGCTTCTTGAGTGTTGATGGGGCTACACTCATCCAGGCAAGTGGGGAGTATTCCATCACACTCCTGACTTGTACCTTGTAGATGGTGGACAGGCTTTGAGGAGTCAAGAGGTGAGTTACTCATCGCAGTATTCCTAGCTTCTGACCTGCTCTTGTAGCCACTCTGTTAACGTGGTGAGTCCAGTTGAGTTTCTGGTCAATGGTAACCCACAGGATGTTGATAGTAGGGAATTCAGTGATGGTAACACCATTGAATGTCAAGGGGAGGTGGTTAGATTGTCTCTTATTGGTGATGGTCATAGCCTGACATTTGTGTGGCGTAAATGTCACTTGCCACTTGTCAGCCCAAGCCTGGATATTGTCCAGATCTTGTTGCATTTGAACATGGACTGCATCAGTATCTGAGGAGTCACGAATGGTGCTGAACATTGTGCAATCATCGGCGAACATCCCCACTTCTGATCTTATGATGGAGGGAAGGTCATTGATGAAGCAGCTGAAGATGGTTGGGCCTAGGACACTACCCTGAGGATCTCCTGCAGATATGTCCTAGAGCGGAGATGATTGATCTCCCACAACCACAACCATCTTCCTATGTGTCAGATATGACTCCAACCACTGGAGCGTTTGCCCCCTGATACCCATTGATTCCAGTTTTGCTAGGGCTCCTTGGTGCCACACTTGGTCGAATGCAGCCTTGATATCAAGGGCTGTCACTCCCACCTCACCTCTGGAATTCAGCTCTTTGTCCATGTTTGAACCAAGGCTGTAATGAGATCAAAAGCTAAGGGGCCCTGACAGAACCCAAACTGGGCGTCACTGAGCAGGTTATTTCTGAGCAGGTACTGCTTGATAGCACTGTTGATGACACCTTCCATCACTTTACTGATGATTGAGAGTAGACTGATGGGACGGTAATTGGCCGGCTTGGATTTGTCCTGCGTTTTGTGTACAGGACATACTTGGGCAATTTTCCACATTGTCGGGTAGATACCAGTGTGTAACTGCACTGGAACAGCTTGGCTAGGGGAGCAGCAAATTCTGGAGCACAAGTCTTCAGTACTATTGCCGGAATGTTGTCAGGACCCATAGCCTTTACAGTATCTGGTGTCTCCAACCATTTCTTGATATCATGTGGACTGAATCGAATTAGCTGAAGACTGGCGTCTGTAATGCTGGGGACCACTGGAGGTGGCCAACATGGATCATCCACTCGGCACTGCCTTATTTTTTGCACTGTTGTGCTGGGCTCTTCCAGCATTGAGGATGCAGATATTTGTGGAGCCTCCTCCTCCAGTGAGTTGTTTAATTGTCCATCACCATTCACAACTGGATGTGGCAGGACTGCAGAGCTTAGATCTTATCCGTTGGTTGTGGGATCGCTTAGCTCTATCTATCACTTGCTTCTTTCTCTGTTTGGTGTGAAAATAATCCTGTTTGGTGGCTTCACCAGGTTGCCTGGTGCTGCTCCTGGCATGCCCTCCTGCACTCTCCATTGAACCAGGCTTGATCCCCTGGCTTGATGGTAATGGTTGAGTGGGGGATATGCCGGGCCATGAGGTTACAGATTATGCTAGAGTACAATTCTGCTGCTGTTGATGGCCCACAGTGCCTCATGGATGCCCAGTCTTGAGTTGCTAGATCTGTTCCTTGTCTGTCCCATTTAACATGGTGATAGTGCCACACAACACGATGGAGGTTGTCCTCAATGTGAAGGCGGGACTTCGTCTCCACAAGGACTGTGTGATGGTCACTCTTACCGAAACTGTCATGGACAGATGCAACTGCAGCTGGCAGATTAGTAAGGATGAGGTCAAGTATGTTTTTCCCGCTTGTTGATTCAATACCAGGAGGAAAGAAAGAACCTGGAATATAAAAGCATCTTTCACAATTTCAGGTTGCTCCAAAGAGCTTCTCATACAATTAAGTATTTTTGAAGTGCATTCGCTGTTGAAATGAAAAGAAGTGGGAAAATAAATTTGTACACAAGATCGCATAAACCACATTTAGATATTGATTTGACTGTCCATGATTTTCAGTGTTCGTTGTTTGAGGGATAAATATTGTTCAGGGCACTCCAAAGAACTCCACTACTCCTCTTAAAAACAATAATAAGTGGTCTTTTACATTCATCTGAGCCAGCAAACATGTCCTAAACTTATAGTTTACAATCTAAAACACAATTCTTCTGACTGCTACACTCCTCCAGTGCTACACTACATAGATTTTGCATTCAAGACTCTGGAGTAGAATTTGGAGCTACAATCTCTGAATCAGAGAGAAGAGTGCCATCACTGAGCCCCAGCTGACACCTATCCATGATGCTGAATTTTTCTCCCACTGGTGAAAGTTAAAATTTATCCCAGGATGAATGGCTTTCGATATTATTTCGCCAGCTGCTTCATCCCACCAGAAGATGGCCTGATCTATCTTAAGTGTCATACTTGTTTGACTTTCCTGTGAGAAGTTGCATGTGCCTGAGAAAGCGTCAGGCCTGAGCAGTATTAGGTGACTTAGAGGACAACTTGACTAGCAGAAAGGTGTATCTGGTCTCAAAAATGTGCGAAAGTTGGTTGCCAGGAATATAGCTCATGGTGGAGTAACAGAAGTGGGGTGCTAGAAAGAGCCCAGAATGACAGTGGGCCACGTTCTTCTTGTAGAGCCAAGAGATTCCCCAGTCCACAAAAGAGGTGTTTTGTACCTACTTCTTGGGGAATTCTTTTTTTGGCCAGTAGATCTGAATGATCTGACATTAATACAAGATTAAATCTTTCCTCCAGTTCTATGGTATAATTAGAGAACAATCCTAAATTTACAAGTAAATCAAAAAATGTCTGACAGTAAAGTAAATAGAGCTGTACTTTGGTCTGAACATTGACCTCAATTAGAAAGTAGAAATTCTACCAAGGTACATACTGAACCAATTTGATTAAGATATAAGTATTCTTTGTTTGGCTGTGAAAAATACTGCTACTGTGTTTTGTCTAATGATCTAATTTGCTTATAAGAAAATAAAAATGCACAGTTTCTTTGTGGCATCTTTCCTAGGGTTTCGTATCTTGATGACTTATGTCAGAAGCTAAATGCGGTGAAGGATTGTCAATGATGATCACCGTTCTTGTATTGGTATTTGCAGTGATGGAGCCCCAGGGAGCCAATTGGTTACTGATAAGTTTTGGATTGACTGGGATTCAGTACTTGGCAGCTCTGACAATGTCATCCTTGCTCGCTTTGATGGCCGGGGGAGTGGTTTCCAAGGGCTTAAAATTCTGCAGGATATATATCGAAGGTTGGGGACAGTGGAAGTCAAAGACCAAATTACAGCAGTACAGTGCGTATATAAACATTTGTTGGATTAAGTTTTTTTTTTGCATTTCAATCAAGTGTTACTGTCTTTATTTTAAAAACCTTTATCTTTTGAAGTATGTATATGTACAAAAGGAGTGAATGTCATTTTTCCTATGGCATACAAAAGTGAAGGGATGATGTGATTTGATACAACTTATTTCATTGCATTGTCTGCCTTACAAAATATTTTTTGGTTCAAATGATTGATTTCTGCTGTAGCAGCAATGGATTACAATCTTGCAACAAAAAGCAAGCTGCTGAATTCTCTTAAATATATACATTATTAATGTTGAGCCATGTAATATTGAGTTACTCATTTTGAAACAAATTGTTTGATATTTATGATCTCGCACCTTTTCTATTCCATCTCATTATCGAACAATGTTTCCTTTTACTGAGAAAAGTCAAGAATTCTCACTGCAGAGAATTTCTCCCACTGCCAATCTTACAATTAATATGGCCCCCTCAAAACTTAGCCTCAAGGACTGCAGACGTTACTTCGAAATCATCTGCTTCAGAAGTAGGCCAGAACTAAAGAAGAATGGTCACGTCACAGCCTCATAGAAGGCTTGGGGATTGGGCGGTTAAAAATAACACACCATGGTCACAGATAGACTGAATTTTCTGACATTGATTAAGACCGTTGTAGTTTTGTGGGAGAGGTGGAAACCTGATTGACAAGATTGAATTACAGATTGTGTGCTTACAGGAGGACTACATTAATATGTTGAAGGACACGAGATGGTGCTATGGTTGTTTGCAGGACAGGGGTGATGGATGGATTTTATGAAGAGTTGGGGTGATGATGATAGTTTTTGAATGAGATGGAGGCAGTACCTAAAGATTGAGAAAGCAATTAGGGTGATCAACAGTTTAATGGAGCCACAGGCAAAGCAAATTGTTCTGATGAACAAAATAAGCTCTGGCAATCAATTAGAGGAAATAGAAGAGTACTTCAGGAACCCATGGCAGAGGCTTGTCTTAAATAGCAGGGTTGTAGCAAGGAGTAAATGGTAGAGGCAACTGAATGGATGTCCTCATCTGATAGATCCTGGCAGATGAGGATAGAGGACATGTGTTTAAGGAGGTGGGTGGCAAAGGAAAAAGAAACTGAGGGTTCCTTTTAATTCCAGGATGATCCTGGAGTCATGAACAAAAGACTGATAGTGCTTGATATAGTGCAACAAGATCTGAGGATGGGTGGCTAAATTACTTGACATGAGCAAGTTGCATCATCTGTATTTAAGAGAATAAAGATGGAGGCCATACAATGGGAATAAATAGGCTGGAAGAGAGTGAGGGTTGAATATAAAGACGTTAACTGTGAAGCAAATAAATTGCATGAAAGAGTAACAACTATAGAACTATACCTAATGAAAAACAAAATTTTAGAGAGCTGTGCATTTGAAAATGTAATATGATTAATTTAGGGAGAGCTTGTGCTAGGCTAGTGGCAAAATACCCATTATTTACCATAATGTATAGGTGAACATGGGTAGTGAGTGATATCTGGAATTGCTCAGAAATGATTTATCTGTGAACGAAATGATGAAATTACTGAGGTGCCATCAAATGGTAATGTCGAGGTGCTAGATAATAAAAAGGATTCAATACACTAGAGAATTTCAGCAGAATGAATGTCTCAATTCACATTGTTACTCAAATTTACTTAATGGAATTCACATGATAGACCAAATCTTTTGTGGTCATGACAACTTAAACATCTATAATTTTAAAATGGGAAAAGTTTTAACTCAATGCTCTAATTCATTTTTCTTTTATTTCAGATCATTATTGAAATTACCATTTATTGATGCAAACAGAATAGGTGTTTATGGCCAGGTAAAATTCAGCTATCAGATTATTTCTTAACAATTTGATATGAATTACGCACCTAGTTTGTGCATGCATGCTAGTGCTATATACCTTAGAGCAGTGTTTGGTTTATTTTGTTTTGCAGTATGAAATATTGTTTCTATGTTTATTTATTGCAAGGTCGAGAGCTATTTCCTCCTTTGGCTGAAAACAGGGGATCCATTATATTCAACATGCAAAGGCTTTTGTGGTTACCTGAGAAATTAAGCTTCATTATTTTGTAATTAAATAGTTTTTAATCATTTATGCAGCTTGTGCTCCAGTTTTCTGCCAAATATTATGTATCAAAACCTATTAGATATAATCAATAAAATCTCAAATATTTAGATTTCATGGTACCCTGCAGTATAGTAAATAGCAGGCAGATTGGCAGGAGGCAGATACAGACTGCACAACAGATGAGATAAGCAGCAATTGAGAAATTCATTATAGAAATCAGAGCTTAAATCAGCTGTCATTTCTTGTTCTTAAGAAAGAAAGAAAGACTATTGGGTTGTAACATTTACTTGGGCATTAAATTTGTGGAGCAGGTTTGTCATCAATTAAAATTCAAAAATATCCAACCTGCTCAATTTTTATTCCCATTCAAGCAATCTAATGCACAGTTTACTCTTCAAGCAGGGAGATAGTGTTATGATGATTATGGCACTGGTCTAGTAATCCAGAGTTCTGGGAACATGAGTTCAAATCCCACTATGGCAAGTGAAAAGATTCTGGACTCCAAACTTCTAGAGTTTCAAAAAACAATCTAATCTCTTGGCAACCATGTAAGCATTGTCAGTTGCAGTAAATATCCAACTTGTTCAGAAATTTCCTTTTGAAAAGGCGTCTGCAGATCCACAGAAATGTGGTTGTCTTTTTTACTTCCCTCTGAAATGGCCTAGCGAGTTACTCTGCTCAAGCCAATCAATGCTGGACCAGCAGCAACATCCACTAACCCTGCAAGGTCCTGAGCAACATCTGTGGTTTTGAGCCAAATTTGAAAAAGCTGTTTCATAAATTAGTCAAGCAACAGCCTGCTCACAGAAGCAAATCTTACAGACAACATCCCCAACATCACCAATATCATTGCTGGCTATGTCCTGTCCCATCAACAGAACAGACACTGCAGCACATAAGTATTCACTTGGGAGGATATTGCCTGAGAGACCTCAACATTTTATGCAAATCCCATGAAATCTCATAGCATTGAGTTAAATTTGGGCAAAGAAACTTCCTGCTAATTACCACCTATTATGTTACCTCCCCTCAGATAATACATCAGTATTTTTCCATGTTGAAGACTTCTTGGAGGAAGCAGTGAGGGTGGCAAGGGCACAGAACGTACTCTAATTGGGGATTTCAACATCTATCACCATGTCGCTTGGTAGAACCACTGCTGACTGAGCTGGGCAAGTCCTAAGGACATTGCTGCTAGACTGAGTATGGGACAGCTGGTGAAGAAACCAACAAAAGGGAATAACCTACTTAACCTCATCATCACTAATCTATCAGTTACAGATGTGTTTAACCATGACAGTAACCCTAGGAGTGACAACTGCATGATCACTCCGGAGGTGAAGTTCAGCCTAAATTTTTTTTATTCTTTCAGGTGATGTGGGCTTTGCTGTCTGGGCCAGCATTTATTGTCCATCCTTAATTGCTCTTGAAGATGATGATGAGCTGCATTATGGAACAGGTGCAGTTGATTTGGAGTAGGTGCACCCATAATACTTTTAGGAAGACAATGGAGAGGTAATGGCCTAGTGGTATTATCGCTGGGCTGTTAATTCAGAGACCCACTTAATGTTCTGGAGACTTGGATTCAAATCCTGCAATGACAGATGGTAGAATTTGAATTCAAAAAATAACTGGAGTTAGAGTCCAATGATGATCATGAATCCATTGTCAATTGTCAGGAAAAACCCAGCTAATTCACTAATATCCTTTCGGGAAGGAAGCTGCCAGCCTTGCCTGGTCTGGCCTACATGTGTTTCAGAGCCACAGCAATGTAGTTGATTGCTAACTGCTTTCTGGGCAATTAGGGATGGGCTATCCTAGCCAGTGATGCCCACATCCTGTGAGTGAATAAATTTTAGAAAAAGGCAGTTTCAGAATTCTGACCCAGTGACGCAAAAGGCGATTTATTTCCAAGTTAGATAGTGAGTGACTTGGAGAGGAACTTGCAAATTTGGTGGCCCCATACATCTCCTGCTCTTGTCCTTATAGATAGTAGAAGCCATGGATTTGAAGAAGTTGTCTAAGGAGCTTTGGTGAATTTCTGCAGTGCATCACGTAGATAGTATATACTGCTGTTACTGTGCATCGGTAGAGGAGGGAATGAATGTTTGTGGATGTGATACCAATCAAGTGAGCTGCTTTGTCCTGGGTGGTGCAAGCTTCTTGAGCGTTATTGGAGCTGCAAGATCTTTTCTCTAGCGCTGGGGAGTTCAAACTGGAGGAAGCAATTTTAAGTTGAGAGGAGAAAGATTTAAAAGGGACCCGAGGGACAACTTCTTCACATTGAGAGTGGTTTGCATGCAGAATGAACTGCCAGAGGAAATGGTAGATGCAAGTACAGTTACAACATTTAAGAGACATTTGGATAGGTGCATGAATAAAATAAAAGTTTAAAAGGATATGGGTCAAGTGCAGGCAAACTGGTTTGATTTAGTTTGGGAAACTTGGTCAGCATGGACGAGTTGGACTGAAGGATCTGCTTCTGTGCTGTATGGCTCAATGAATATTCTGCCACACTCCTGACATGTGCCTTGTAGATGGTGGACAGGCTTTGGCGAGTCAGGAGGTGAGTTAACCTGAACTGCTCTTGTACCTACAGTGTTTATATGGTTAGTCCAGTCCTAATTTGTTGATAGTAGGGGATTCAGCAATGGTAATGCCATTGAAAGTCAATGGATGATGGTTAGATACTTTCATGTTGGAGATAGCTGTTGCATGACACTTTTGTGGTGCAAATGTTACTTGCTACTCTTTAGCCCAAGCCTGGATATCGTCCAGGTCTTGTTGCATTTGGACTTGGATTTTTTTCAGCAGCTGAGGAGCTACAATATGTGCTGAACATTGTGCACTCATCAACGAACATCCTGACTTCTGACTTTTTGATCGAGAGATCATAGATGAATGACATCAACATGGTTGAGCCTAGGGCATGATCTTGTAGAACTGCTGCAGAGATTTCCTGGAGCTGAGGTGACTAACCTCCAACAAACACAATCATTTTCTTTGTGTCAGACTTCAGCACAGTGTCTTCATCCTGATCACCAATTAATCTAGATTTGCCAGGGCTCCTTGATCCCAAATTTGGTAAACTGCAGCATTGATGTCAAGGATAGTTACTTCTACCTCATCTCTGGTTCTTTTGTCTATGTTTGAGCCAAGGCTGTAATAAGGTCAGAAGCTGAGCCATATAAATACTGCAGAAAGCTACTGGCCTCAGATTAGCTGACTGCCCTAATAGGTGGAATTTCATACTGCTTCAGGATATCCTGTGATAAACTAATTCTAGTAGAGCCAGGAACCCCAATGGCACCAAGTGGCATGCCCGATCAGGACTTCGTTCTAATGAGTCTCCAGAAATGGTCATGAAGGAGTTGCAATTAGCTCTTTCAACAGGTGAGCAGAACCACTGCCACAGCTTTTCAATTTGGGAAAAGGTGCACGTAAACAATCAATAATATACATGTTGAATGCTATTTTCACCAGTGATGAGTACAGAAAATGAAGTATTAGTGTTACCACCCTTTGAATCACTGGAAAGAATAGCTGAGATAACAAGGTGTAGAGCAGGATGAACACAGCAGGCCAAGCAGCATCAGAGGAGCAGGAAGGCTGACGTTTCGGGCCTAGACTCTTCTTA